GTGCCAGTAATCCAGGCTGTTTCCTTCTTGTGACATTATGAGCATCTGAAGGGCTTCTTGGCCCCAGCTGATGTGTCTGGAGACAATTCCTATGTTTTCAGTTATACCCACTGCACAGTCTCCATGCTGAAACACTTGACAGGACTTTCAATTACTGTTGGTACTGCAACTTTACTGATAGCAACTGCAGATACTTGTACAGATACAAGTAAATATATCTTAGGCAAGTCTGGAATCAGGGTGAGCAATAAACGTAAGAACATCTCATAAGCACAAAACGGGCTTAGGAAGACTATCACAAAAGCCAAGGTAATATCCCTTTCTGAGTGCTGAATATACAACAGTGAGATTCGCCCACCTGAGCTGCAGCTTCTTCATAGCCTGTCGTGCCATTTATCTGGCCTGCAAAGAAGAGGCGCTGAACAAGACGTGACTCAAGAGAAGTAGTCAGTTGTCGGGGGTCTAAAAAGTCATACTGCACCCCATAGCCTGTGACACACAACCAGACAGATGTTACAGGAAGGACTATTAAGACAATCAGTGGAGCAGAATGGCTTATCAATTCTACTTATGATTTCTGAACAAGCAAACTAAAAATGCATCCAGGAATTATTTTGCTTCATATTTCCTTTGTTTTGCTAAGCTCTAAGCAAAACCTGCTTTTCATTAACTAGTAAATAAATATGACCTGCAGATTCAAAACAATTCAGCCCTCTCACCTGGCTGTAACATCTTGGCCTTTTCCAAGCCTGGGATGGATTTGACCACCTGCTCCTGGAGCTCAGGTGGTAGTGTCATGGACATGCCTTGGGGATAAATGATGTTGGAATCCAAGCCTTCGGGCTCCAGCCACACCTGATGTTCTCGGTCTGGGAAGCGCAGAACCTTTGATTCAAGAGAGGGACAGTACCTGTAACAGTAAATAGCCATGAGCAGCACCTGACATGGAGAAAAAGTTACTTTCCAGAAGCGAAGCAGGGAAGACCCACAGCTCCAAACAGACTTCCAGCTTGTCCTCTTGACAGCCTTGCATGATGCCACACACTCACCGTGGGCCCCTGGTTGTCTCCCTGATGTGGCTGTTCAGGTGGAGGTTATCGCGGATAATTTGCTGGGCCTTGAGGTTTGTGCGAGTCAGGTAGCAGGAAAGCTGATCTTCGGGCTGGAAGGGGCCAAAGCTCAGCCTAAGTTAATCTGGTCATGACACTGTATCCTTACTAAATAACTCTGATGTCTCCAAGACATTTCCCATGATGGCTGGCTCTCACTTTTGGGAGGAGTCAGCAGGGCTGTCATACCCACTGTACAGACTGAACACAAGCAATCCAAGAGCCTAAGCAACATGCCCAAAACCAGAGTGAGAACAGGATGAAATCTGGGAGTCTGGAATTCAAGTTCTATCCTATATGCCATATTCCCAATAACAAGATGGATATTCCCATTAAATCAACATGAATCAGCATTCAAACTGGTCACAGGGGGAAAAAAAGCTCTGGAGTTAGAAGAATTAAGTACTAACAGCTAACAGCCAATTAATGGGTTTGGTGAAGGGAAAAAAAAAACTCCCTTGAAGAGGAAAAAACCTCAAAACTCTGCAATTAACATGAAAAATTCAAAGTCTGGAAAACCTCACCATGTAAAGTATTCCACTGATTTTTCTGAAAAGTGATAGACTCATTCAAAATTGTGACAATGTAGCACCATAACTCTTTAAAACTGCCACCAAGTTAGCCAAAAGCCTTGTGATTTTATGTGGTTTTGATTTAGATCTGTGTTGGCTGACTGAGAAATCATCTTGCTGCACTTGCAGAAAGGAACTCCATGGACCCATAACCCTTAGAGAACTTAATCAACAGTTGAAGATCAAAATTTAATAAAGAACTGGTTAATGGTTGTCATATAACTTGAGATGAATTAGATGCCATAGAGCAAGAAAGCTATCTTGAAAATGCTAAGGAATCAAAGCCTACATACTCCAGAAAACTTGATTAATACATTGCAGGTGTGGTAAGGGAGCCACTTCATAGGCCTGTACACCCCAGAAAACTTCATCAATAGTAACTGTCTAACCAGGACAGCAAATTTAATAAAGCACTGTTTAAAAAGCCATGTAACCAGCACATAAAGAATAATAACCAGCCATGTAACCAGCACATGAAGAATAATACTAGCACTAGTATCACATTTCACAAAACTCTGACTCTAATCACCTTATTCTGAAGTAAAGAGAGTTCAGTTCTCAAGCTGAGAAGTGAGAGTAAAAAGGTATTTGCTTTCAAAAGAACACAAGTAACTTCTCCCTCACACTGAGAGTCCTCAAAATCCTAACACCTCCAGTACAAATACATTCCAGCTACCTTTCCCAGCCACCAAATCCCTGGCTGATGATGAGCACGACGTTCCCAGAACCACTTCCCACCCAGCTCTATGTGCATTTGATGGGTGGGATTTGCTATCCCACCTTGATCCAGACAGCCTCACTGAGGAAGCTGAACGGCACTGGAGGGTTGTCAGCTGCACGTTCCTCCAGACCACCAAAATCAATCGTATCCTTGGCAAGTCGGGGCGGTGTCCCAGTCTTCAGCCTGCCCACAGCAAATCCCAGTTTCTCCAGAGTGTGAGCCAGCCCGATGGCTGGCTGGTCCCCCAGCCGCCCCGCCGGATGCATCTCCAGGCCGATGTAGATCATACCCCTCAGAAACGTACCGGTGGTCAGGATAACACTCCCAGCACGTACTGTGCTCCCATCCCCTGGAACAGCAAGTTTTCAGAGATGTTCACATTTTAGTATCAACAAAGCCCCAGAACTCTGGTGCTTCTGTCTAGAACTAGACTACCAGCGTTCACTGGAGGTTTATCTGTCATCTATTATAAAATAATACCAGCTTTTCCATAAAAAAACCACCAATACTAATAACTACAATAAGCAGCATGTAGTTATTGCTGTATATTTATTATTCCTAAGCAAGTTACCCCTAACAAAGAAAACTACTCCTCAGAAAAATCCATATGCAGGCCTTTAATTTGGAAAGCCTGTTTATTGTAACAGCAAGAGGTAATGAAGCACAAGCCTGTAATTAAGAGGACCCAATGGTCCTGTGACATTGAGAGCAGCATACACCATTTACCAAATAAAAGCTCAAAACACAACATGGGATTCAGTATCACTAGCCTGAAGAAAATCAACTTAGTTAACATCCCAGTATACTACCAATCCAGGTACTTTTAACACTGTATTACTTTGCACTACACATATTAACCTGGTTTTAGTTTACACTCTGCCTAAAACAGTGCTATTGGCTAATTCATCTTTCTCACTAATGAATTAGAATTGTATAATTCATCTTTCTCATTGGTGAATCAGAAATATTTACCCCAAAGGCTGTAGGCACTCTTAATACGGAGTAATTGAAGGCACTTAATGAGTTACGAGCACATACCCAGAACAACTCCTGTGACTTGGCATTTCCCAGGACGGCCTGGTTCTGGCTCTGTCAAGAGAAGATCCTCCACAGATACCTCACGAACTGTCAACAGTGGTGTGTTAAGGATTTCTTTCTGTCATGAAAGGAGTTACTGCAAAAATCTAGGAAGGTACGAGACATATGGGCAATCCCAAACCCTGTTGATTTATGAAACATCTATTATCCACTTCCATTCTTACCGGGTCATTTGGCAGACACAGTTATGGTACTATCCTGATTTATCAGATAGAAGTTTTCACTCACATAAAGTTTAAACTCAATCAAACTTACCAGGTAGAAGTTTTCACTCACATAAAGTTTAAACTCAAATAAACTAATTGGTCATGGCGCTTAACCTGTATCTAAAACACTAGAGAAATTTTTAAACTGTGCTGAGCTCCTACAACTTACACGGCATCAAAGTACCAAACAGAAAGGTATCTGGGTTTGATCGGTAAATAATGAAAAGCAGAACATAGCCCTTTCCTTCGTAATCCTCAGTCGTGCATCCGACTCCCAGCCCCAAGAGCCCGCCCGGCGCGGCGCTCACCTGCATGTTCTCCTTGTAGAGGTCGCGGTCGATCTGCGCGCGGAGGCCCCACACGGCCGGGCCCTTGCAGCGGTTCAGCACCTTGTAGTGCACGCCCGAGCGATCGCACAGGCGGCCGCACAGCCCGTCCAGGGCGTCCACCTCCCGCATCAGGTGCCCCTTCCCGATGCCGCCGAAGGACGGGTTGCAGGACATTTCCCCTGGGCAACGACACAGGGATACCCTCAGCATCGCCCAAAGGCTCCCGCGACCTCCCCGGCTCAGCACCGCTCCCCCACGCTCCCCACGCGGAGGCGCCCGCGGCAGCTTCCCCCGCCCTCCCCGGGCACCCGCGGCGGTACCGATGGTGCCGATCCTGTGCGTGAGCAGCAGCGTGCAGGCCCCGCCGCGAGCGGCCGCCGCCGCCGCCTCCGTGCCCGCATGGCCCCCGCCGATCACCACCACCTCGTAGCGCGGCGCTGCCGCCGCCCCGGCCTCACTGCCCGCCCGGCGCTGCCCGGGGCGAGGCGCCGGGAGCAGCGGCAGGCGGCGGCAGCCGCCCCGCAGGAACATGGCGGCCGGGCCGGCCCTCCCGGCGGTGGGAGCTCCTCGCCTGGCGGCGAGAGGCGGGGCCGGCGGGAGCGGCGGGGCCGGCGCCTCCCCGCGGCCGCCCGTCCTGGCGGCCCGTGCGGCTGGAGGAGCCGGGCGGCGCCGGTGCTCGCGTGTCCTCGCCCCGCGGGCGGGCGGGGCCGCCCAGGAGCGGGAAAGCGCTCCCCGCGGATTGGAGGGCGGACACAGCTTGGTTGTTGCTACCAGAGCTTTCCCGTGCCCGGGCTGAAGTTGGCGGCGCCGGGCAGCGTCTCGCTCCCGCCCCGCTCGCCCGGGTTTCGTTTCCTAGGGGAGGCGCGCTGCCTGGAAGAGGAACTCGCCCGAAGCCAGAGGCGGGAACTCCGTTGCCCGCGGGGCCGCGCTCGCCGTCTCGTGAGCGCAGAGAGGGAGCAGCGCCCATGGACGCCGCAGGTGGTAGAGGGGCGCGGGCCAGGCGGGGGCCGCGTCCCGCTGCTCCGCGGAGCCGGGGCGCGGAGAAGGGCGCAGCCCGAAGCCCCTCACGGGGCCGCGTCGCGGGTGAAGACTCAAGCGCTGTCGCGACCCTCCCGCGGACGGACGGACGCCCCGCTCGGGGCGGCCGGTCGGCGCGGCGAGCCCCCGCTGCCCAGGAGCTGCCAGCGGGCAGCGCAGAGGCGCTCC